GTTTTTGCTCAGTTTACGCTTATGTGTTTACTTGCATTTATTCTGCTTTCGAAAATATTCTTGCTCCTTACCCGAAATGTGTGGAATTTTGAACTTCTATCGTTACCCGAAATGTAATCTATCTATATATTAAAAGAATAACCTTTTAAGATTCCTGCCAATTTTTCCTGCCAATATATGTATATATAATCACCCGCCAATTTCAGTAACAGTGTCCTAAAAATTAGCAATTGTCTTTCCTCTTGTTTTGGTAGATAGGGTAGTCAACGACTGATTTATTGGGTAGATAGGGCAACAAATCGGTTGATTTATTGAGTAGAATTTGTATTCTCTTTCCTTTTTTTTGGGTATCAAAATAAATATTTGTAATTATTTTTGGTATCAAAACTAATAATTTTCAAATTGTTTGTAATCAAATATTTTTAGATGGAACACCATAAATTCGGTATGATTTTATTAAATTAGACTTATAATATTTTAGATACTTAAAACAAATTGTTTAGACATTTTTGTACATATTCGTCTATATATTTATACATATACACATACATATTGTTGATGTTAAATTTAAATATATGTAGACATGTTTTATTTACAAAATAGTCTAGAAATTTTATTTTACATAATGTTAAATTCAAATGTTTTTAGATATGTTTTTCTTCATTATTTAGGAAAGTTGTAGGTGATTTCACATCTTTCAAAAATCATATAGAAAAATTTGAATACTATTACATATACTAATATAATATTTTAGGTGTTCTTAATATTAAACTTACAAATTTTATATTCTCTTATACAAAATAATGTAAATTTTATATTCTATTATACAAAATAATTTTACATTGTTTGACCCCGAATCTTTAATTTATAATTATTAAGTATTGTTTATTCTCCTCTTTAATTTATAATTATTATTATTATTTTCTTTTTTTTTTTAAAATAGGATCAACAGTAATTTTCACTTCCGCCATTGAGTGACTCAAACTCGAGATTTATTTATAATATTGTTAATTTAATATTGTTCCCGTGCATCGCACGGGGTGTACACTAGTATTTTTATAAGAGTTCTTACATTTCGAAGTGATTACTCCTCTGCATTTGCATTGTTTTTGTTTTTTTCTTTTTGTTTTGTTTTTATCGATCAGTGTCTTGTTATGGTTAGCAGCATTGTTGTTCTAATTGGGTTCACTATTTGATTAAAATTCGTAATTCGAAAGCACTACCTTGATTTTGCTCGGTTTAATTCTTATGCGTTTACTTGCATTTTTCTGCTTTCGGCAAAATATTCTTGCTCCTTCTTTCTCTTAAAAAACCCATTTTTCTCTCACATTACACCAGGTCAACAAAGTTTATGAGAAGCTCGAAGGATTTCGAAAAAAGCTCGCTCGAGCAGAAGCCATATACTCCGAATCTAAAACAACTGCCAACCCCGAAGGAACAAGGCCAACAACAAAAACAGGCTTCCTCGGCCTCATTGGCCGAAAAACCGACGCCATAGAATATTACGATGAGCAAATAAAGGACTTAATCCCCAAGCTAGAAGCAGAGCAGAAAATCACTTTAAAGGACAAGCAACAATGCTCGGCTATCATATTCTTCAACAACCGAGTCACGGCCTCAGCCGCCTCACAGAGCCTACACGACATGATAGTCGACAAATGGACAGTCTTGGATGCTCCCGAGGCCCGCCAGCTCATATGGACAAATCTCCCGAAAAATTTTTACGAGAGGCAGTTTAGGCAGTACTTCATCTACTTCATCGTGTTTTTGACCATTTTCTTTTATATGATACCCATTGGGTTCATCTCTGCACTTACCACATTGGATAACCTGAAAAAGCTGCTTCCCTTTTTGAAGCCGATTGTGGATCAGCCCGCGGTTAGAACCGTGCTCCAAGCATACTTGCCACAGCTGGCGCTTATCGTGTTCTTGGCACTTTTGCCGAAGTTCTTGCTGTTTTTGTCTAAGGCAGAGGGGATTCCCTCGGAGTGCCATGCGCAGAGGGCCGCGTCTGGGAAGTATTTCTATTTCTCGGTTTTGAATGTGTTTATTGGGGTCACGGTGGGGTCCACGCTCTTCTCGACTTTGAAGCAGATCGAGAAGAATCCGAACTCGGCCATAACTCTGCTGGCCGAGAGTCTTCCCGGGAGCGCGACATTCTTCTTGACTTTTGTGGCTTTGAAGTAAAATATTCGTTTCCCGTTTTCTTTCTCTTCTTTTGGAAAATATTGCTTTTTCAGAACGTCTCGGTTTAAATTATTTATTCACTCCACAGTATTGGAGAATTACTTTACTTCTACTGTAACAAAGATTTTGAAACATGTGTGAAAATTGAGTAAAGTTTGATTTTTTACTTGAAGACCGAAATCAAGAATTTGCCTTCATCAGGTTCTTCGTGGGCTATGGGCTCGAGCTATCAAGAATTGTTCCCTTAATAATATATCACCTGAAAAAGAAGTATCTTTGCAAGACTGAGGCCGAGCGCAAAGAGGCCTGGGCACCCGGTGATCTCGGCTACGCTACTCGAATTCCGAACGACTTGTTGATAGTGACGATCGTCCTCTGCTATTCTGTCATTGCACCTCTCATTATCCCGTTTGGCGTGTTGTACTTCGGGCTGGGATGGCTTGTTCTAAGGAATCAGGTGAGTAGAAGGAAAAATCTTTTTTAACAATTGTTATTATTAGTTTCCTCACTTTTCCAGTTCTGTATGTGAAACATGTTTGGTTTGAAGTTTGAGCTAGCTGTGTTCGCTTTTTGTAACAATTGCATGTGGTTGAATTTGGTACTTTTTGCGAATAGGAGCCGAAAAGCTCAACGATTTTAAAGAGATTGTTTTGCATATAATTTAAAATAGTGCTTTATTTGAGCTTTCTAGGTTGTGTTTGATAAGCATATAAGATAGTTTATAACTTATTTCATTAGCTTATAAGCTTCCTGTATTCAAATAAGCTCGGTTTGGCAGGACGAGATTTTTTAAAAAGCTGGAGCTTAATACACTTCTTTGGGTAGTTTTTCAAATAAGTCCATAGAAATTTTTATTTCAGCTATAATTTACCAAACACTTTTATCATATAAGCTAATTTTTCAGCCATAAGTCGCAAGTAATCTGCTATAAGCTTGAAATTCACTTAAAAGCTATAAACTAGCTTATCAATCAGCTAGTTTATCTTCTTTGGTGGCTGTGGAAGACACGAAATCTATGGGTTTTTCAGAAAATCAGAATAGAAGGGAAAGCCGTGGTAGATATCGCTGTGGCTGAGTGGTTGGAATTTGCTTCCCTGCCATAGGATTAGCTTTCTTTTTGTTGTACAGTTTTTTTGGCTTGCTGTCTTTTTCACCTCTTCTGGTAGTTTTTAGTTCCTTGTCTGCTTAGTTTTCTCTTCTCAGAGCTGTTTTGTTTGGGTTCCCCTCTGAGAGCTTTTGGGTGGGGGTCGCTAGGCCTTATTCGCAGTGGTGGCTCCCCTTTTTGTCATGCTTGCTGCTCTTAAGCAAGCTCAAAGTTGTCTAGAATATCTCAGGTGTCGAGCTTAGCCTTAGCCGGTATATTCTTGGGCAACTTTGCATTTTGTTGTTGCTTCTTTAGGGCACCATTGTAGTGTGTTCCTCTATTCACCCTTTTTGGGTTGATTGTATGGCTTTTTAGCCAGGCCACTTTGTATATTTTGTTTTTTCCGAGTAATAGAATCTATCGTTTCGATAAAAAAAAAAAGAAAAAAAAAATTGTTTGCTTAACTTGTTTTCATTTCTTTCCCCCCAAAACAACACAGGCCCTAAAAGTGTACGTCCCTTCATACGAGAGCTACGGGAAGATGTGGCCTCACATTTTCATCCGAATAATCGCATCGTTGATTCTCTTCCAGCTTACAATGTTCGGTTACTTCCTGGCCAAGATATTCTTCTACGCCCCACTTGTGATCCCGCTTATCGTGCTGTCCTTCATATTTTGCTACGTTTGCCAGAAGAAATTCTACCGATTTTTCCAGTCGACAGCGCTCGAAGTTTCGGCTCACGAACTGAAAGAGACTCCGAACATGGAAGTCATTTTCAGGTCATTTGTGCCCCCGAGCTTGAGTTCCGATAAAGGAGACGAGGATCAGTTTGAAGATGCTCTGTCTCAAATGTCGAGAGCTGGTTCAATCGTCTGATGTAGATTTTTTTCTTCTTTCTTTTGTGAATTATCTATGTGTGTTGTGTTTTTAGCTTAGGGATTTTAGGGATATGTCTTTGTTTCTCCTTCAGAATGTGTGTGTGTGTGTGTGTGTGTGTGTGTGTGTGTTTGCGTGAGGAGGAATCTGTAAGCTAAAAAGTTTGTTTGTTGATTTGCTAGGTTTTGGTATTGTGATTTTGTTTGTGGTGGTTAGAATTTACAGAAATCAGACACTGTTTTTGTCTGAATTATGATTAGAATATGAGACTTTTGAGTGTAAATGTACTTTTTGGTTACTCTTTACTTACATGTATTGTTTACTTTGTTTTGTTTTGTTTATTGATATTAATGTTGCATGTAAGTAGAGCTGTAAACGAGCCAATCTCGAGCTATAACGAGCTGAATTATAAAAAAAATTATATAAAAATTCTATTTTCGAGCCTTATCGAGCCGAACTCGCCAAACGAGCTTTAAATGCGCTCGAGCTCGGCTCATTAAGGCCTCGAACTCGAACTGGACTCGAGCCTTAACGAGTCGAGCCGAGAATATCTGTGGCTTTTAGGGGACTGTAGGATCAAATTTACCCGGCTTGAGGTTATTAAAGTCAATTTGTGTGATTCGGAAAACGTTTATCACGTTTAGGTGGTATAAGTTAGGTAAAGTACAGCTCAATGAATGACTTGAAGAAAATTATGAGAATTATTACTTTTGACTTTTAACACCAGAAGTTTAAGACTCGTTTCAACCTACAATACACAACACAACAAAACACGATTTCAATGGCTTGGGCAATATATGATTGAAAAGATGACCTGATGTTGATAACCAACCACCACAACATGGCTGCTACTCAGCTACTGTACAAATGAATGCGCCTCACCGGCCAATATGCAGTGTTAATGACACAATAAATAAAGAAGAAAAAAATCAAAACAGGTTATACGAATCGTATAGCAGTCAAAAAGTATGATCAATGACTTTTTCATATACAAGATTTCAACGAAAGGAAAAGAAACACACGCACACACACTGCCATAAATTCAAGTATTCAACCATCACCACCCAAATTTTCAAATCTCTTTCTTCCATTTTCCCCCATTCTCCGATTCAATCAAGAACTCTCTCTCTCTCTCTACCAAATGATCTCCAACGTGAAAAATGCACCACTTCACCTCCCGGCAGCCGCTCGTCACCACCACCTCCGACCGCCCGTCACTGCCACCTCCGACCACAACCACTCCACAATCCGGCAAAATCCGCACCGAAAGCCACCGAACAAAGCCGCCAAGCTAGCCGAATCCCTCTCCCACATCGTGAACCTCCGCATCGAAACTGCAATCCAGAAAACCTTCCA